TCCATCCAGTCTCTTCCTGAGCCTCATCTTGGGTCTCGAGCTGATTGTAGTTTGAGATGTCTCTGTATAAAGTTCTCATCATAATCATGGCTACCATTCCAGAGAGGAAAAGGACAATCATAAGTGAATTTATGATGGAAAACCAGTGGATTTGATCATCATTCATGAGAAGGTATGTGTCCCACCGAGAAGCCCATTTGATTTCACTCTCCTGGGGATTCGAGTTCCGGAAAATATTTAGCAAGCCAAACAGTCAAGCAAAAAAAATCTAAAAGATGAATTCTTTACCTTAAATGAGACATCATATGTAAACACAATTTCTTTTCCTTGTTCAACTTCTTGCGGGACAGTATTGCTTTGGATTAAATTCTTTGTGTCCTTGTTGCATGTTGTTAGCTGAGGATTGTTTTCATCCCACTCCTTGTACTCATGCAAGATACTATCCAAAAAAAAATAAAGACCCGTTAGCTTATACAAATTGAGAAGATTACGTCAATATTCCAAACAAGACAGACATCAGGCAACTAAGCAATACCTGTTAGGAGTAACCTCAAATCCAACAATTCTAGCAGAGTCGGACTCTTGATCTCTGTGGTACATAACCCGGAAGCTCAAGTGATTATGGATGAAATATTTCTCCTCTTTGCTCTACAAAATCCAAGCAACTATTGGTTGGTACGCGAGAAAGTAAAAAGAATGCAAGATTGAAGAAACAGAGTTTTAAAGACATACCCCTTCATAACTCCCTTTGAAGCCAACACGGAAACCGTGTTCATAAGTAGTTGACTGACTTCCATCTCTCCTTTGTCTAAGTACAGCAACTGGAAGATTATCAAGAATCCTGCACAGTAATTCGAGTTAAGGTTTAAGGATTAATCAAAAGAAATCTACGAGACACAGATAGAAACAACCATAATGCTATATTTACTACTTACATATTAGCCCGGTATTCATCGTCAATCTTTTCCTTGAAATTTTTTGTGGACTCAGCGTCAAGTTTAACACGGCAACCTACTTTGCAGGGCTGATCTTCCAGCATTTGAAACTGAAAATTTCCATTGAAAGCAAAATCAAAATCTCATGGTGAAGAGGAAGGGTATGAACTATGAAGAAAAGCAGTCTAACAACATCTATACCCAGAAGAATGGGCATTGCTTACCGTATAAACTGAATTCTCGATGCGGTCTCCTCTGAGAACCTCCCCTAAATTCTCAGCATTGTTCAAGATCTTAGGGGGCTTACAGTAATTCAGGTAGTAGTAGTCATAAGGAAGTTGGGTCTTCGTGGACGACAATTTGTTCACTTTTACATAAAGGGGATCACCCTGTTCCAGACCAGGCAAAAACAATAGATCAAGAGTTGAAAACCCAAGTTACTAGTAAGCCCAAAAGATGATTTGGAAACACAATTTTTCTAAGTACAGATCCATGGATTTGGATATGAATGAAGTTCAAAATGAAATCGCTGATCCGCATATAATCAGCATGAGTAATAACAAAATCCTAAACTTTCCTCATCATGACTTAAGCTCAGAAATCTAGATGACTCAAGGATCTGTAAATCTCATAAACATATTCACAATAACTGAAGGACAACGAGATTCTAACCATCAAGAACAAAAATCAAGGATCTTCAATCAGAAGCACAGAGACCTCTACATCCCATATTGTCTACACGCTTAGACTTAAAATGCTCAACGAACCTTTCTCTACATTCAATATGGTGTCACCTTTTATTTGCGTATAAGAAAATCAAAGCTCAGTTCCGTTTCTTCTTTGTGAATCAAATTTTTTTATCGACCCACTCTATAGTAGCTACCAAGAGAAACGGTGGCAAAAAAAGACAGAAAATTTCAACCAGATGTAAATGAAATCACAGGCTAAAACATAATTTCAGTAAGACCCATGAACCATGGATCGATCTTCTAGTCGAAAACGCTAGATCGGAAAAAAAAAAAAAAAACCAAAAGAGTTACCTTCTGGAAATCGCGAGGAGCGACTCCGGGGAGATAGAAGGCGCGAGAAAAGGAGAAAGAGAGGAAAGAGAGGAAGAGAGTGGCGTAGAATCGAAAGCTGCTTCCTTTCGTCTTCTTCATCTTTTTCTTCTGTCTAATTTCCTCAGAGACTCTTCAGACGGAAGTTGCCGGGGTAATAAGAAAGGGGCGAAATTGCAGAGTGCGTTTTTTTATTTTATTTTACAAAGATGTACGATATGCGAGTCACGAATACGATGCCGTTTTGTCGCTTGTGATCGCTTACATAAATAAGGAAAAAGAAAAAAAATGTTTTTTTTTTTGGGGGTCAATTAAGAGGAATTGATTTGAAATCATCTTTTTATCTCTTACTTTTATGACATTGTTAAGTTGGTAAAATAGAAAATATTTCGCGTATTTAAGAATGCAATCTTTTATGCGTAAATGTAAGAAACAAATATCTGAATAACCATTTTTGAACAAGCTTTAGCTCCAATGTGATTAAATTAAAAAGTGTTATTATTGCTTTAAAAGTACAAGAAGAAGCTTCATATCAAAGTAAAGAGACATGGTTGGGTGAGCTGCATGAGTTGTGTAAGCGTATGACTTTGATCTCAAGAAATAACTTGAGCTTTAGATTATTACCATGAATGATTGGTTAAGTAAATTGTTCAAAAAAACAAATGATTGGTTAAGTAAAGTTAGTTGATGATTGCGATAGGGAAATTAAAGATAAAACAAAATTGATACTAGTTGCTGGTTATTAACGAATTTTTTATTCATGCGAAACCAAAAACTGTAGTTAAGATTTAATAAAAATTTGTAAAAAGAAAAAGGAAACGATGCGTTTTGATTACGCCGGCAAATGAATAGAATATGCCGCTATTTTCTTGGGAAAAAAAAAAACTCTCTCTCTGAAACCACCATGGAAATCGAAGGCGAAGACGGCACGAAGCTCTCTCTGAAGCCCGGAGTTAAGGCTGTGTTCGGAAGAGGAACCGGATTCAACACCGAAGACCTAACAGTGTCACGCCGTCACGTGTCGTTCGAGTTAAAACCCTTTGCCGGCGGAGCAGAACGGTCCGAATCCGATAGGGTTTGCTTCGAGGTCCTCGGGAGGAATCCGGTCTGGGTACGTACGGGTCGACCGGGCGATAAAATCCAAACTTTTCGAAAATCTGAAACGGGAGTGATCGCCGCCGGCGAAAGATTCTGTCTTTCGGGTCATATCCCTGTTTGGTTCGCTTTGAAGAGACGCGATGAAGCTGCGGAGGGTAGAGTATCGGATGGTGAAAGTGGATTGGATAGTATCGATATTTCAGACATTGACCCTTTTAAAGGTAATCAATTTTGCACTTTACACATCAGTCGAATTCGTCTAATTTGATGTATTCATCGCTTAAGAAGTCGAAACAAGGGAATGATTTTGAAAATTTCCAGCAAGAACGTTTTTTTCAACATCTCTAGTCTCTTGATTCAGGAAAATTTGGTATCTTTGTTTCTTAATTTGTGCTTGATTCTGGATTCTGGACTGTGTGTCTGTGTCTCATTGTCCTTGCCATTCTGTGTTCTGATTTATGTTGTCTGCACTTGCTTATCTTTCCAATGTCTAGAATCTTGTTGCTCTTTACAGGAATTTGCTGTAAGAATGATTCTTAATGTGTAGTGTTTACTGTGGTGTTGCAGAGTTTGGTTTTCTTGTGATTGGGAAGGAATTTGATCAGTACTCGAATAGTCGGATTCGCGACATTAAGCAATGGGAATGGTTCCTTGAGGATTCCACTAATGGAAATAGCGATGACGATGATGATGATGATGGAGATCGGAAGGGAAGGAAGGGGTTAAGCAAAAAGAGAAGAAGAAAGAAAGGGAATGAGGACGACGATTGGAGTGTGGAAAGTGAGGAAGATACAGAGTTGCCGGTGAAATCACAAAGCGTTAAGATTCCAACTTACTCAACAAGATCAAAGAAGACTAAGAAAGATCCACACGCAAGTAGTAGTAGTGGTAGTAGCCATGCTCAAACTAAACAGCGTGGAAGAGTAGATGTCGAGGAAGACGAAGATGATGAAACATTGGGAAGTTTCATTGTTAGTGATGAAGAAGCCAAGTTAGAAGAAGAGGACGAACCAAATATAGATGATGATGAGGAAGAAGAAGAAGAAGATTTTGATGAAGATGAAGACTAGGAGTAATAGCTGGAATTTTATTGACTAAACCTAAAATGTAAGCAAAGCTAATCTTATTGTAACTGGAACTACAATCTTATTGTTCATTAGTAATGTGTGCGCTTGTGAAATTCTTTGCATTGCTGCTTCGTTGGGGCTTGAAAACGTCGCCGATTGTTTTTACTTCGTATTTCATTGATCATCATCATTGTGAAGACATTACAAAGTCATTATACTTAAAACTAACAGGTGCTTCGTTATTTAGTGGTAATACATTCACATTGTGAAGACTCCTTTATGGCTTTCAGAGTGGGTATTGCTTCCTTAGCTTCTTTGTCAAAGAGAGATTTCCACAAATCCAACAATGGTAGGCTCCATTGCATCCCTCGCAAACTCATTTGCCTCTGAAACAGCCTTCAAGAAAATGGACACACATTCTTCAATCATAGACGTAATCTGTCGACCACATTTCCTCCTGCTCTGAGAAAGTAGACAACTGAATTCACATCTATAAAACCATAAGCATTCTCCAGTGTGTTCCTAACGAATTCCGAATTGTTGCCATCATTCTGATTCTCCATAATTCGGTTTGATATCTTTTGTATATACATAATGCATAACACAAAGCGGCCTAGTCGGCAAAATTTTATGGACTCTAGTAATAATGTTGGGGCTTCAAGACGTCGCCGTTTCATTTTTCTGTTAATTATACTGGCTGTTTATGGTACACCACTAAGGATCCACATTCTTCACATCGCACGTGTGTATGTATTACAACTCTAAAAAAAAAAACCCGCGAAGTCTTCTCCTCTCCTTCCTTCCTCCGTCGCCCTCATTTTCTGGTTTTCTTCTGGTTTTTTTTTTTTCGTTCTCTTGGAAAAATTTCAAGTTTCTCACGGAACAAGAAGAAACCTTCCATATACGGAAATCAAAAACATGACCAACGAAGAAAGCATCGTATCCATCAAAACCGATAATAACAGTGGCGATTCCTCTAATGCATTAGGTGATTTCAGAAACTACTCTCGTTTTTTATCTTAGTGGAAAATTATCGAAATATCCCTCTCAATCTCGGGAAAAAATATTGAATTTTTGGATGATCCCACAAACACCCTTTCTTATTACTTTTGCCTCAAGTAAATCCCCTGTTTCACTTTCTTGCTCTGTCTGTAATCAACAAGGAATAGGGCTAAATGCTAAGTTGCTATCCATTGTGCATTTTTCAGATCTTGGGCCAGAGGGTGGTGCTCTTCTTGAGGAGCTTAAGGCAACTTACTTCAATCATTTAATGTAATTACACACTAGTTTTTTCTGTTCTGTTTCCTCTGTTCATGATCTTTTTTATTGGGCGTTAAACTTACAGAACCTCACCCTAAAGCGAACCTTTGATGTGAAAACACTCTCACCAAAAGTTACCAAACGCGTTTTGTTTCTCAAGGACATTCAGGTACTGTCAAATCGTTTGTCTCTGAAGACTATAATCTTGATTCTAGAGAGGAGATATTCAATATTCACTGAGTTCTGAATGCTGTGTAATTTTGTCAGGTTAAACATGATGAACTCGAAGAGAAATTTCTTGAAGAAAAAGCTGCATTGGAGGCAAAATACGATAATCTCTACAAGCCGCTTTTTGATAAGGTAAAGAGTTATATAAAAAAAAAAGAAAGAAAAAAAACTCATATTTCCTATTGATTGTCTTATGTTATGTGGGCTAGGACTATATTTTTGGTTGTTTACCGGATCGTTACTGATAAACTTGCAGAGATATGAAATTGTGAATGGTGTGGTTGAAGCTGGAACAGAGAAAGGAGTGCCCAATTTCTGGTTGATTGCAATGAAAACCAACGAAATGCTCGCAAACGAGGTTCATGATTCAATTCCTTTTTGGAATCTGTGTGTTCATAAGCATAAAAAAAGGTTGAAACCAGTCTGATTTTGGTTTATGTAGATAACCGAAAGAGATGAGGGAGCACTGAAGTATCTCAAAGACATCAGATGTTGTAGAGTAGAAAACAATTCAAGAAATTTCAAGCTAGAGTTTCTCTTTGATCCTAATCCTTACTTCAAGAACTCGGTTCTGTCTAAAACTTACCATGTGACCGATGACGATGACGATGGCCCCGTTCTTGATAGAGTGATTGGGTATATCCATCATCCTCATTTTACTTGGTTCCACTTTTTACCTGATCTTTAACTCGGTCTCGTTTCTTATGTGATGTGTAGAACGGACATAGAATGGTGTCCAGGTAAATGTTTGACTCATAAGGTTGTTGTAAAGAAGAGGCCAAAGAAGGGGCCAAAGAAGGTCAACAACATCCCCATGACCAAAACCGAAAACTGCGAGAGTTTCTTCAACTTCTTCAAGCCCCCTGAGATTGATGAATTTGATGAATTTTATACAACCATGGTTAGACCACCTTCTCTCTTTTGATATTGATTACTGTTTATTAATCAGGCGAGCGTGAAAATATAGATATTCTTGCAGGATCAAGAACTCCAAAACCTGACGGATCAAGACTATGACATCGCGTAAGCTTTACTGATTTACATTCTCTGTCATTGACAAATTTTCAAGTAAGTATATCCTTAAGTTTTGGTGTATTTGGTTTTACAGTGTGACAATCCGAGACAAACTAATCCCTCACGCAGTTTCATGGTTTACCGGAGAGGCTCTTGTTGATGAAGATGAATATGATGATGATGAGAACAATGACTAACGACAAGAGAATGTTTGCTTTTAATATGCTTTTATTCATTACAAATACACCAAATACATCGATCTCAAGCAGTGATTTTAGAGGGAAGACTTCATGCTCCAAGCACTTAGGCTTAAAACATCAACATTCTGAGATCCATTGTTAAAAGCAAAGAGGTGCGCATTTTTTCCTATTGCCAATTTTGGATAAACTCTTGAGGTAATACATGTTTTCCCTTTCCCAACAAAGCTCTCCACTATTGAATTATCAATCTACAACACACACAAAAAAACATTATATTAGTTAAAAAATACTCAAACTAGTCATCAGTTTTGTTCCAAGTTCTTGTGATTATGAGGAGTTGAGAAGCTCACCAAAGTCCTGAGAGAGATTGGTTGATAAGGAGATATATCCAAAAAAGCACCAAATGGTGTTTTATCATTCCCTTTCTCTAAACTAGACCTGCTTTGGTCACTACACATGACTACCACATGGTCCTTACTATTCTGACGAGCTTTGAAGATTCTGAGATAAACCGAGGTGTACTCTTCCAAGTTCTTGGAGGCTAGAACCATTAAACCGAATGGACCTAAACCGGACGATGCAGTCTTATTCTGACTGCAAATCAATTGTGGGTCGGTCCAACCCGGTTCAATCACATCTGCTTCCTCTAAACCTGTCACTTTAAAGAAAACCTCCACATCTGCTTGTGAAGCTGTGACCCCATGAACGTCAAGCACAGATCCTCCTCCCTCCAAAACTTTGTTTTCCAACTTAACTTGCTTTGCACGTAACCTCTCTATTTCCTTAACCGGCCATAACATCAATCTCTTTCCTGATTCATCAAGCCACACTTTCCTTGGAATCGCCTATCAATCACCACTATCATCGGTTAATTAAATAAAATGTAAGTCAAACAATAATCTCAGATTGGTTTTACCTGCAAACCGGCCCAACCCTTATCGACGTTATCCTTCACCGGGGACGACTCGTTGACCCAACCCCACAAAATCCTCCGTCGATAAACCGAATCGTAAAACGTCTTCGACGCGTAGAATTTTCCATAATCGTATCTCGGAGCCGTACCGTCCTGAACAAAACCATCGTCCGGTACATAAACATCTCTCATGCGATCATACGTCCCTATCGTGTAGTAATCGTGGCTCGTTTCTGATAGGCTCACTTTAAGCACGTGCTTAATCGACTCACCAAACGACGACGTATCGAGTCCCTGTGGATTAAACCTCGCCACCGGGAAAAAATCAGGACACTCCCACATTCCGGTGCCGTCGTTGTAGTGAAGAGGCTTCGTCGATTGCTTCCAGCTGGTGAAATCTCGGCTCGTGTGAAGAAGAGCTAATCCACGACGACCTTCCTGGCTTCCGGTGATCACGCGCCACCGGCCGTTACGGCCGAGCCACGCGGTGGTTGGGTCGCGAAACGCGGTGGAGTTGATGTGGTTGACGGCGTTGGGGGTCACGAGGGGATTCGCCGGCGATTTGGTCCAGTGACGGAGATATGGATCGGAGAGGTTTTTAGGTCTGGCTAGGTTTTGGACCTGATGGTTGTTACGGTCGTTGCCGGTGTAGAGAATTACGGGTTTGCCATTGGGGAGAATCGTGACGGAACCGGACCAGCAGCCGTTGATATCGGACGGTCGAGATGGTTTGATCGCTGGAGAATGTGGGGTCCAGTTGATGAGGTCCGTTGACGTTGCATGGCCCCATACGATTTTGTTAAAATCCGTTACGACGCCGTTTGGATACCATTGGTAAAAGAGATGATAGATCCCTTTGTATATCATAGGCCCTGTCCAATTTTATGTACATTAAACGTACATACATATTAATCACTCTCTCTATTCGAAGTAATTTATCTATGCTTAAGTATAAGATATATACATAGTATAAGATAACATTAAGGGAGAGAATGATAACTAACCATTAGGATCTTGTAGCATGAGGCCCCAACATAGACAAAAAAAGAGCGTGAAAAGATATAATATGTACACAAAGTATGAGATAATCAAGTAAAACTGAGTTAGTGTGTATGTATGTTATAATACCGTTCATCCAATTTTTGGGAGGCTGGAAATGATAACCGGTCCGGTAAGGTTGGTCCTTGATTCTATTAGGGGCGTGGTGCAAGGCCTCAAGAACAAGAGCATTGTCAGTAAGAAACAACGAGGCCAATAAGAAAATGGCAATGTTACACCAAACTATATTCGTCATTACGTACTTAACAAGTTTTGAACGCTTTTATTTATTTCTCTGAGATTATATGTTTGAATTTTTACATATAGGATGGGGGAAATGTTCGATTTATAGGCAGTGGCTTGGGCGTGCTTGAGGTGGTGGTCCATATATTGTAATTAGGTTCGATAATCTCGATCCAAATGGCATTTTCATGGCCGTTGAAATCAATATCGATTTTCTCGATAATTTTTTTGAATCAAAGTAGGAATAATTCATACCAGTATTCTGAATTTTGATTAACAAAAAAAACACAGTGACTGTTTGGGAGGGGCAGTTGCCCACCATAACATTTTTAATTTTGGTGTAATTGCTTGAAGATTTTTAATAATAATGCCAATGTTTATGTATTCTATTATGCCCCATTATTTATTTTTTCCCCGGTTTTCACCCACTTTGGCTGATATTGAACATATGAATAATCGAAAATATAAAACTTAAAATAAATAAACCTACGCTGAATAACTTATCCCCAACAGTGAAGAATGTTTCGAATCTCATAGTCTTTTGTTGTCTCATAATTGAAAATGTTTTCCACTCAAGTAGTTGACTTAATATGAGTGTCATTGTCCCATCATTGATGTGGGTATATCTCATGCTCCAAGCACTTAGGCTTGAGACATCAACAACACTTTTGAACTCCTTTGTTAAATGAAAATAGAATGTACATTTTGTTCTACTGCCACCTTAAGATACAGTTTTGATGTTTATGCATGCTTTGCCTCCCCACCATTTATAGCTCTCCACTATTGAATGCTCGATCCATAAAAGGAAAGTTAGATTGAGAAATCAATTTGAAATTGAATAGGATTTACCTACAAAGTACAATGACACGTGGTTCTTCTTGAACTCTCTTTTAGAACTCAATTTAAAAAGACAACAAAATATATCGCCACTAAGTTTCTCCACTCATAATTATATTAGAGCTGAAATTTTGTATGGAATCAAAAAATTAAGATTAGTTTTTTTTTTGGTTTGAAGAAATAAACATTTTTACATGAAATAAACCTTTTTTACATGAAATAGTTCTTTCTGAAGGACAAAAAAAGGGAAAAATACTTTAAGAGTTCTCATGATTTGATAACTAACAAGATACCTTCCCGAGCTAAAATATGGTAAGCAAAAAAATGTTTATCAACTTTATCCAACTTTAATAGGTGTAAATTATTAGCAAAATCATACCTAACAAGATACCTTTCCGAAATGGTTTTTTTTTTTGTCAATGATATGAACGAGTCTCAACTTTCAGTAAAATGAAAATGTTTTTGTTTTTGGTTACGGCTTAGTGCACACGTATCATCGATATTGCTTAAAGATTTCGGAACAGATCGATGTGTGCTCTTCCAAGTTCTTGGAGCGCAATAATCATACAACCAAAAGTGGGTATAAACCGGATTTAACCGATAAATTCCTCTGGCTACACATCACGCCCACATGCGGGTTTGCGCGGGACATGGCGTATCTGGATCTGTATCCGTTGAAAAGCGAACGGTCGAGATGGTTTGATCGTTTAAGGAATTGGGGTTTGATTAGTTGACTATATCCGCTGACGCTAAGTTGTAATAAATTATGTTGCCATCTCTATTGATGTCTAGGGTTAAAATTCATTGGTCATTAAATTGAACAATTTATTTACCCGTTGTATTGCATGTAGTCTTTCTTTCTTTCATTAGCTCATGCTCATACCCTCTCTGAGCGTGTTTGTAACGGTTTGGTCTCCCTTTCTCCATAATAAATTGAACAGTTTATTATGTTGCCATCTCTATTGATGTCTAGGGTTAAAATTCATTGGTCGTTAGGCATAAAAGTGAAAAATAACTAGTGGTGATATTGAATCCAAACGGTAGACTGGTCCTAATGAACCTCTAAGGCCTAAGCACACTTATATAAATACATTTTATTGTCATTTATTTTATTTGCGCCACACCATTCAAATTGTATTCGAGTTTTAAATGTATATGTACACACGTATATTCATATTAAAAGTCCATTGTTATCGTGTTCGTTGGAACTTGGAAGATTTTGACTACCGACAATAAAATTGGAAATTTAATAATATGAGAAGTCAAATAAGATGTCATAGTAAAACAATACTATGTGAAGTCAAATAAAATGTCATATAACTTGAAAATTATTTCAAAGAAACAAATTTTGACCCCTTTTCTTTTTGGCAACCAAACAAATTAACCCTTATAAGATCTCCACAATCATATAATATAAATGCTCAATAAATGGAGATATATGTATATACGTATGTGTATCTATCTCCGCCGTACGTGATTAACTGATTTGGGCAGACTTCATGCTCCAAGCGCTTAGGCTCACAACATCAACACTTTGAGATCCATAGTTAAAAGCAAAGAGATGTGAACTTTTTCCTATTGCCAATTTTGGATACACTCTTGAGGTAATGCATGCTCTTCCCTTTCCACCGAAACTCTCCACTACTGAATGATCAATCTACAACAACAACACAAATTAAAAACAAAACCATTTAAAAAAAGCTACACTAAAAATATTCAGAATTGATTCTTGAACAAGCAAAAACTTTGATCAGAGGCTAATTAAGCTATTCTATAATTATTCATGGTTTTTTTTAAAAAGGATGTTCCCAAAAGGAGTATCTTTTCTATATTTGTATGCTTTTTACCATTTCTTTAAATTGTAACATATATGAATATATTATATATATATATATCCTATTATTAAATATGTGTGAAGTGGAGACTTAATTACCAAGGCTCTGAGGGACAATGGCCGGAGAGGATTAATGTCCACAAAAGCTCCGTAAGTTGTTTTGTCATTATCTTCCTCCAGTGAAGATCTGTCCCAAATTCCACATCACCAAAAAGTCCACAAAATTAAAAAGTCAAATTTTGGATACAAATCTTTCTAATTGTGACACTTGATTGGAAAACCCCTATGACTGTGAGTCTTGCAAATGAACTAAATTAATGTATTTATCATGGATCTCATTATAGCAACGTACCTGCTTTGGTCACTGCACATGACCACAACGTACTTATTGCGATTTTGACGAGTTTTGAAGATCCTAAAATAAACCGATGTATACTCCTCCAAGTTCTTAGATGCAAGAACCATTAAACCGAATGGACCTAAACCGGACTTAACCGACACATTCATCTGACTACAAATCAATTGTGGATCAGTCCAACTCGGTTCTATGACATCCGCTTTCTCCAAGTCTCTCACTTTGAACACAACCTCCACATCCGCCTGTACAATCATACACAAAACAAATTAAAACCGAATTTTCTAATGCTAACAATATTTTAATAATAATAATAATCAAACCTGTGCAGCTGTCACACCATAGACTTCTAGTCTAGATCTTGAATTTAAAACTTTGTTGCGTATGTTGACTTGCTTCGTACGTAATCTCTCTACTTCCCTAACTGGCCATTGAACCAACTGCTTGCCGGACCGATCAAGCCAAATTTTCCTCGGGATCGTCTAATCAACGTTAAGAAAAAAAAAATTAATTCAATATTCTCTTTTCGTTAAGAAATGTATGCTCTCTTTAATTTCATTTTCAATATATCAAAAATTACCTGAATACCGGACCAGCCTTTCTCAACATCATCCTCAACCGATGATGACTCGTTAGTCCAACCCCACAAAATTCTCCGGTTCTTAGCCGAGTCGTAAAACGTTTTTGACGCATAATATTTCCCGTAATCGTATCTCGGAGCCGTACCGTCCATCTTAAACCCGTTATCCGGTACGAATTTATCCCCAACCCGATCATACGTACCGATCGTGTAATAGTCATGTTTCGTGTCATCCAAGCTTACTTTCAACACGTGCTTTAAAATCTCATTAGGTTCACCAAACGACGACGTTTCCACGCCTTTAGAGCCAAACCTCGTCACGGGAAAAAAATCAGGACACTCCCACATTCCACTTCCGTCGTCGTAATGCAAAGGCTCGGCAGATTTTTCCCATTTTAGAAAGTCTTTGCTCGTGTAAGTGATCGCTAGTCCACGACGGTGGATCTTGCTTCCGATGATCACTCTCCATTTCTTGTCGTGGCCGAGCCACGCGGTGGTTGGATCACGGAACGAGCTGGCGTTGATTCCGTTGACGGCGTCAGGAGCCATCAGAGGATTTAACGGCGACTTTATCCATTCTACGAGATATGGATCGGAGAGGTTCTTAGGCTCAGCTATGTTTTGGACCTGTTGGTTCTTGGGGTCGATTCCGGTATAGAGGATAACCGGTTTGCCGTCGGGGAGAATTGTAACTGAACCGGACCAACATCCGTTGATATCGGACGGTTGAGATGGGAAGATAGCTGGAGGATGTGGAGCCCAGCTGATTAAATCTGTTGACGTGGAATGGGCCCACACGATGTTACCCCACACGGCACCTTTTGGGTTCCATTGGTAGAAAAGATGATATATTCCTTTGTATATCATAGGGCCTGTATAAATTTAAAATATTTTATTATATATATGGATAAATCTCATAAATGTAAGTAAGCATCGTGGTGCAGCGTAATATAAGGTCGACCAATACATTAGAAAATTCGAAATATACGGTTGGTATGCTGACTTATTGGTGTAATCAATGTTATTAAAAAATTAGTTAAAGTACCAGTTTCTTGGGAAATGATATGTGTATGTTAAATCCAAAAAAAGAAAGATATGTGATATGAAGAGTTGACTAAAACTATAGGAGAAATAAACCAACCATTAGGATCTGCTCACGGCCAAAGATCAATCCAATTTGTCCAAGCACGAACCATAAAGAAGCAACAAAAAAAGGTTAGAGAGAATTGAAAACTATATGACATTGAGATTGAGACTGATCTGGTAATTTAAAACGTAAACATATATACCGTTCATCCAATTTTTGGGTGGTTGAAAATGGAAGCCGGTCCGGTAGGGCTGGTTTACGGAAGGAGGTTTGGTGTTAGTGCTTTGGCTAAGTCTATTGTAGACATGGTGCGAGGCTTCGAGATCGACGACATAGTTACTAAGAAGTAACGTGAATAATAACCAAAGTCCAATGTTGGAGCAAACTTCTTTGTTCATTGTGTGTTTCGTGTGTTGTTATTTCTCCACGGTTGTTGTTTGGATGAATGAAGATCATGTCAAATTTATAGGTGAAGAACGAGGGCAAATCTGTCCATATCAATATTTGAGTTTTATATTTGCAAATTGAGCTTTTTTTTTAGTTTTATTTTGGCTGGATGTTAATAATGAATGTTATTTATTGCCATAAGTCAGACATCTATGCGAGTTGTTTCCAACAGTTTTCGTTTATTTTAAAGTTAAATGAGTCTTAAATGGTTTAGGACTTCTACTAATCTCTTAGAAACCATTTGCGAAAATAAATTTTGTGTGGTAATTAAAAAATAATGTTTTCGAGAACTAATCCAAAAAACATGAGAAATATTTAATTTAAATCATCCGAAGAATAAAAATTGATAAAAGAAACGAAAACATAATAAAAAGTTGTACGTCAAAAACTTTTGTTAATCTAATATTTTTGGTCATATCAAATTTAAAGGGAATATATATATATATATATATATTATATTTAAAATTAATAGCCTTTTGTGTTATAAGATAAAAACAAATTTGGATAGGTTAACTTGTAAGTTTATATCAAGAAAAGTTTTATCCCCTTCCGTTAGTCAACTATTTTAGGCTATCAAAAGTGTATTTCATAAACGTTGGGATTATACTAGGTTCAAGTTATGCTTATGGGAGTAACATCTCGAGAAAGTATATATTTAAATCATATCATATTAGGTGACAACGATATATATTGGTAGAGACGCCATATATCCAATACAATACGATAATAATAATCCAATAAAATTACGAATCTGGTGTTTTACACGGAAGTCAAGAAGTCAGAACAGTTATCAAGAACGTGTCTCCACCCTCCACCATCCGTCCTTACACGAGGCGAGGAGATTAACCAATCGATTAATGAAAAAAGTAATTAAATATTTGTATATTATAGTAGAAAAGTCAAATTTTGGACTCTACCTTTGTCCCTTTGTAGCATCATCCTTCACATTTCTATACAACTTTATAGTCTTTTGACATACAAAAAACAGACCGTACCACCTCGTAAAAATTTAAGTTGCAACTTTTTTGTTTGGTTTTAGCTTAGTTGCAACTTATCAATTGTATGATGTATCCACCAATAGTTGACCCAAAAAAACAAAAAATCACCAATTCGATTTTCCTTTCTTTTAGCCACTTTTGGTTGACAGCATTAAACCACACATATGAGGCATTCACTTCAATGCATATTCTGATTATAAATTATCTAACGAGTTTAATAAGTTCATTTTCGACAAGACTAGTTCAAAATAAATCATTACTTTAAGAACGTTTAAATTAGTTGACGTTTAACAGTCTTTAACTAATAGTATATCTCAATAGGAAAATAATAACATATGTGACTATTCCAAAACCATTTTTTGTTGTAAAAAATTGGATTTAGATCGCTTGTCAGTCGTTGCCCGATATTGATATGCAAATGCAATACAAAATTCTGCTTCCAAAAACATGTGTTGCGCGCTCTAAGTCTATTTGTGAAAGCCATGCAAACGCCTTTCAAATATAGCTAGCCACAAAATCTGATAATTTTTTTGCTAATAAATAGCTGATATTTTTTTTTGTAAACGAGTTAAATATGCAAAAGGTGTTTCTCCTTTTTTTTTTGGACATCATCAAAAGATGTTTATCCATTTTATAAGTTATGACTGTATAATAGTCTTGGCGTTATGACCATTTTTATTCAACGATTTATCGCTAAGATAAATGGTTTTTCTACCATAATATACTACTGAGTTTAAAGTTATAAATTACGACGTCCAAACTATTTTCATTTTAAAATGTTTTGTCAGTTTAAAGTTATAAATTTCATTTTAAAGATTTTTTGATTTTTCTTTTACTTTGAGCTAACCCAACAAAAATGCATTTCAAAGAAAATAGTTGGTATTCGATCGTGTGATATCCTACTATTACTAAAAATCTGAGACCAAAAACAACAAAGCATCATATAATAATTTTAAATTGACGTGCTGTATACCATTATATATATTCATGCCTCCATTTCCATCCCATACGAAAATATGTGAACGTATAAATAAGTGTTGAATATTAGCATCATATTGCGCCTTTTGTAATATACTATAAAAATAAAATTGCATATATGAATAACTGACTGCATGGGCATTATTTTCGGTCAACGGAAAATGACATTTTATCAGCAGAACTGCGTTTTTTGGCCCTCATTAACAAGCTCGTGTAGTAAAGTAATTGTTGTAGATTACTCAATTGTCAGGGCATCAAAGTTGACTACATGTCCATTCTGTTTAAGGAAAAATATACACAAATAAAGCTGTAAAGGTGTTTGAAATAGCCTAACTATTATACTTTAAAATTTAAAATATCGATGTGAGTTTTGAGATATCTGTAAATTGATGATACAAGTGATACATTCCTGTTGTTTTAGCGACAACAGTCAGCAGAAGATTTTGAGTAAAATCTGTGTGTGACTGAAAAGTCTTGACGAAATCACACATCGTCTACATCATTTTCACGTTTTCTTCACTGTTACATTTAAGTTTTTCAACAACCTATAAGTTATTTATCTTTCGTTTCATAATTTCAAAAGTCTCACTAAATTCAGAATTTACCTTTCCTGTCATTAAGAATTCAGATTTTTATATTCTTTCGTCAACGATTAGCTAACATTTTTTCCTTAATGGACTTTTTCGTGTACATGTATCCATAACTAGACCTCATCAACAATAACATATATACATATAAGAATACAATTAATATAAAAAGGTCAAGTCGACCAATTTCATCATCCAGATTTTGTGCGGTAATGGATAATCTTGATATGCTGACACGGTATGGAAAATATAATCATAGTCTTATTTAATTATTATCTTAAGAAAATGACGTCCATATCGAATTGTGTTATATGAACGGATCAGTTGAGATTTTGTTTGACTATGTAATTCTTGGGTAGGCCCAGACAAAAATTGTGCAGCAAATCCTACTGTTTGCGGTTTTAATGTTACAGGATGATTATGCCCATTACTAATATATTTTCTGAGTTTTACTATCTTAAAGGTTTTTTTGATATGCCACATGCATTCTGGTTAGTGAACTTCGCCTACTACTCATTCAGTTTTGGTTCATTTTGTTGAAGATTCTCTTTCCATAATGACTGACTGCTGAGTTGAAATATAATTGCAGCGAAGTGGTTCAAACTAGTTCTAGTTGCCGCTAGCAAAAAGTATCCAACTGAATTAGGAGCAACAATTCACAGCTATTGAAAAGATGATGATAAGATGCTCTTTAACGAGGAGGAAAAACTTCATATGTTAACACTAGAACTGCAGTTTCTTAAAGTGGCTGCAGAAGGTCCGGCCTTCATACAGATGCACTTACGATTTTAAGGGAGAGAGATGCTAACGTGCCTCGTCCTAAAATCAGACGCATAAGAGAGTTTGAAGTTCGAAGATGTTATACTTAAGACATTTGTTATAATGATTTGTGAGGAATGTGATACTTTAGCAGATAAAGCTGAGAATGCAATATTGAGTTATGAATTTTTGGAAGATTTCATCGTGAACTGTGATATAAGGTCTATCGGATGTTTTCATGAAAGTCTATTCCAACAGTGTTTATTTAGCCTTTCATGCTAACACAGTTTTTTTTTTGGTCGACAAACTTAGTGCAGCTTAATGAATGCGATCAGATATCTAATTTAATAGCCGAGGTTTAAGTCTTTCACTACTGAGATATTGAAACCAAAATTTAGGTTTATTGAAAGAGAATGAATGAATGTGTGGATAGTATTTGGATACTTGTACCGTTATTGTTTAATCATAGTTCATTATTGTTAAATTGATAAACAATCATGTTTTCCAAGTATTTGATCGGAGATATATTTGAGTTTCACACAAAAAAAAAAAATATGTAAACTAACAATTTACAAAAGATGGCCCAACTATATATATACATAATTTTTTATTAGAACCGGTCTGGTCTGAATATGAATGGTTTTCTCATTTAAGTCGTCGCTACTTTCATAGTTGGGCAAGCCCAACATTCCCAGGAAGGTTGACGAACTTCGGCATCCGTGAAATTTGGAGCTTTTGGTAATGGCGGCTATGTCAGCTGTTCTGTCTTCTCTGGGTTTAGGAACAATTCGCCCTTCGAAACCTTCCTTGTCCTGTTTCAATTCACTCCGACACCAGACATCTCTTCTCCGTTGCCACTCGAGAATTACGAGGTCTCCGCTCAATAGGGTTCTTCAGGCTTGCCTCCGATCCAGTGGGTATCTATTATTCTTTGCTCAATTGCATCCGCATCTGAGTCTTATCAATTTGCTTTGATTTCAACTTTCACTCTTCTTCCGGACAAAAATTCTCTTGGTCGTTTGCATCTTATTTCTCTCACCTTTTGAATTGGAATCGATAGGTCATATCTGAAAAATTCAGGCTTTATAGTGGTGGTTTCGGTAGGAATATAGATTTGTAATATAGATTTTGTATGTTTAGTGCCACTTTACATCATTTAAGATATGTTACATTGTTTGATTATGATTTGTTGTGTATGCTATTAGATTATGCAAATGCTGATGATGCTTCGGTTTCATCACCCCAAGAACATTCTGAGATTGTATTTATGGGTACCGGAACAAGTGAAGGGATTCCTCGTGTCAGCTGCCTCACTAATCCTTTGAAAACATGTTCGGTATTTTTTTCTTTCTTTATTTTTCTTCTTTTGATTATATGGTTCATCTACAATTTCATTGAGATCCCATTGAAGAAGAACAAAAAAAAAAATCCATTTTGACGCTTTCTAGGTGTGCACAAAAGCAACGGAACCCGGAAACAAAAATAGGAGACTTAACACCAGCATTCTTGTTCGTTACATCAGACCATCCGGAACAAGTAACATTCTAATTGATTGTGGCAAGTAAGTGCAATGAGATGAGTATTCTTAGTTATATCTCTCTTCTTGTTCCATCGGATAACTTATTGTGGCAATTCTGACATTAGGATAAGAAGTTGAGATATTTG